TTGGATTGTGGATCAAGGGAGAGCTTTCAGTACTTTTGACTTTCCAAGACCATATTAGTCAAGTTTTGGCGTGCGATAGCTCGTAGTATCTTTTTTGACCTATCTTCAATAGCTCCGGTTAACTGGAATTACCCCAACCAACAAGGAGGCGAATGGGGAAGCAAAATGCCTTATCTCGCCCGCTGAGTCCATCGAGTTTGCTGCAAAAGTGGCGATGCTTTGTAAGAGAATGAACGACTTCACACGGGATGCTTGCCCATATTCAGAGCAAGAGAAATTCCAAACTTAGGATTGGAACCCAAGTTGATAGTACCTTACTGAATGCTGCCGAACATCATACCTGCATGAAGAAACAATGGAAACCGCGAGCTGTTCCAGCCATTATCGACTCGCACAAGCTGATATCCCACTATAATACTGATTTATAGTCTTTCGACAACTGCTTCTCTAGACGTGCAACAAGTTACCGGTACCCACGTGGAAAAAGCCAGTGGCAGTGGCATACCTTAGCAGACAGCCTTTAACATCTAATGCACATGTTCGCCTACAAAACTTTTCGCCTCATTGGAAGTTGACTGTGGTCGAAGTCCGAATGCAGTATGCCGTAATATTTCCTCCGGCAGGGACTTTGCCGAGTCTCACGGCAATATGGTCAAGGCCAACGCAGCTAATTCAGCAAATGTCACTCACGGCGCTGGAACGAAGTGCGAAATCAAATGCGAGTGCACAAGCAAGTTGCCTGTACTTTTAAGAACGGCCATACCGAAAAACTGGAACCCACCAGTTTACCCTGAAATAGATTCGGTGACGAAATACATCAGGCGAAACGCATCAGCCGGGAACCATGTTCGGCGCCCAGCCCTACCTCACGATTAGCCCAGTTGTGCATCGCCTTGGCGATTTGCTGAGCCTCCCAATGAGCAGAGTTTTCCCCTGTCTGCATTGACATTCTGAGACGACATCCGCCATGCGCCCTGCCAGCTGACCCGGACTCGGGGTTGCGGATGATTTGCCGCTTTCCTACCTCCCTGACTCGGGCCACATCCTTGCACAGATCTTGAACTGCCCGTTGAAGAAGGTAGGATGAGGACAGAGCGAATACTGTCAGAAAACAAGAGGGACGACACGGACGGCAGATTTTCTCTCTCCGTTCGTGTTTGGAATTGTCGCAAAATGCCGCGCCGGCACCCAAAGCCGTTGATGAGATTCGGCATGTGCAGCGCTACTGAGGAAAGGCGATGGCCATCCCATCTCGTCTAATACATCTCCAATTCTCGCTTGTTTTCCCAGCTGAACCGGAATGTGACCTAGGCAATTTAGTTTTTTGACTTCGACGCTAAGGCAGGGTTATCGACTCATCTATCCTTGCAATGGTAGTTTAACAGAGACGAGAGGCGCAGGCTGGTCAAAACCGAGCGCGAGCTGTTCATCTAGGTCCCCTTGACTCACGGCGTACTCAATCGCACCGAATAATCTTCTTCAATCTCAACGGGCACGATCAAGGACCCCAATATAGAAGGAATCATGTTTGTAGTCTCACTGACAAGTCGCAGAAATTATCCAGTATCCGATCGAGCGGCAGAATTGTCAGCAAAGCATGAGCAGAAAACCTGGTCAAGACCAGTTTGACTTCGAGTCATTGCTCTTGCTTGGCTCGTTCATCCCCCCACAACGCGGCCACGGGCACAATGACATGATCAGATGCCACACTGCGATTGTTCGATGATAGTAATCCGGAATTTGTCGTTCCCAGCTGGATGGCTCCGCTTTCCTGACACAAGCAGCGCTGTCGAGACTGGACGCAACGACGAGATCTTCTTCCAATTCTTCTAGAAGGCCATCAATCTGCCCCGGGTTGACCATCTGAAACTAGGGAGAACCCTACAGCGCGCCAACACCTTTGCGTGATCATCGTCTCATCCTTACAAGTCGATCGTCGGCAGCTGCATACTCGCAGGGTGCCCAGCCCTTTCCCCGTAGTGCCGGGTGCGTTGGCTATCTGTAGGTAATGAACTAAGCTGAGAGGGTGGAGAGGAGTGAATGCGATGTCATATCTCAGTTGTCATCCTCCACACTCCGAGTGGATGCGTGTTTTACGTCTTTTACCTTCTCAGCTTCTTGTGTCTCTTTAGTTTGCGATACCCGCCGCGAGTTGCGCGGCTACTCTTTGATCTTCTGTTTGCCTTTTCTCGACGTCATCAAACGCGTAACGGCTGGTCTGTGTCTTGAGCCTTCTTCGACATCCGAACATCGCTTGGGCGAAGGAAGTAACCCCTTTTGGCCGGTCAAATGGGGCGGCCGGAGGACTATGGCCCGACGATCAACGCGGTTATCTGGTCTCAGGTTGGAGCGTCGCTATTCTTCCTGTGCCTACGGCTATACTGCAAATTCAAGAAGCGTAGTGGACTCTGGTGGGACGACCATGTTCTCATAGCATCTTGGGTTCGTTCAGTTCCCCGTCATATGTTAAATGCCTCTTACTAACGACGAATATCGTATTAGGTCACCTTGATGATCGCATCAGCATTAACTACTTGGAATGTGTCCCTTGGCTTCGGCAAGCATGTGTACCAAATCAACCCAGTAAACTTCCCTCAGATCGGCTTGAACGGCAATGTCATCAGTACAATATCGATTACGTCGGCGGTGTGGAGCAAAACATCATTCGCGATGACATTACTTCGAATTGAGGAGAAGGGTTGGACAAGAAACTTGATATGGGGTGCGATTATATCAATGAACGTCCTTATGGGTCTCAACGCGATGGCTGCTTGGGTGCAGTGTACCCCGATCGAAAAGTACTGGCTCCCCCAAACGCCAGGAAAGTGCTGGAGTCCGAAGGTCGCAGCTTATTACGGGGTTTTTGCTGCAGGTATGGCTTGATAGCAATTGCTCAAGCGAATGCTTTTGCTAACACCTGTCAGGATATTCTGCTCTAATGGACATACTGCTCGCCATGCTACCATGGAAGTTGATATGGGGACTTCAAATGAAGATGAAGGAGAAGATTGGTGTCGGCATTGCCATGAGTATGGGACTATTGTAGGTCTAATCCTTTGGGATGCGTCCGACTGTTTCGTCTAACCTGGCAACTAGCGCTGGCGGGACCTCGATTGTCAAGTGCACAACGATTCCCACTCTGCTTTCTGGAGACTTTACCTGTAAGTAGCAAGGCACTGAGAGACTTCGATACAAGAGACCAAACTAACTTTTCCTTCAAGATGACGGCAGCGACCTTGTCATATGGGGAACTGTGGAATCAGGTGTAACTATCATGGCGGCCTCAATACCTGTTCTACGCGTCCTCATCCGCGACGTTGCAAGTACTGCTCGCAAGTACTACGGCAACTCGGCCACCCGTACCAACGGGTCTCGATTCGGCGGCGGGCTCACGCGTACCAATACAGTAACAGTAACAACTTCGACAACACGCAAGGGTTCTATCAGGAGGAAATGGGACAAGCTCGCCGATGATCGGAGCGATAAAAGCATACTTGGGGTCGAGCCGGAACCGGGGTTTGGCAAGATCGTCAGGACAAATGAGATCGTTGTGCAGTATGATACGAGAAGTGACGTTGAAGGGCATAATGGAAGCTACGAGATGGATCAGATGGATCGTATGAACCGCATGGTATAATAGAATTTATGTTACGATGAGCATATCACCACTGTTGCCGCCCCGTTTTCTTTCGTTTCGAGATGACTGGAAGAGGTCCTTGATGCGCTCTGATTGAGTTTGACTTATTGACTGTGAAAGCAAATCGACCCAATGCCATCTGAGGCCGGCCTGACGGTCATCGGTTGTGGAAGGCCCCAGATAACAGCGAAGCCTCATTAGGCTTTTAGCTGCCTCTATCCAACCTGCATACTCCCCTTACCCAAGTAAGATCGTGTCCGTAGTGTTGCGGGCCCGTTGTTCCCTTGCCGGCCACCTGTGGCCTTCCCCCATTTGCACACAGTAATTATCCGAGTCCGTCACGGCTGAGCGTCCAGCTTTCAGCCACATGCAGCCTGAAATTCTCTTACAGGTTTTTTATTCCCTAGATGACAGAACATCATCTTCTAGCGTGCTGCAAAGATCTTCCACCCGGACCTAGTCAGCTTAAGAATACTGACTGAATCGGCGTCAGCTGCAATCCATCTTCGAAGCAAATCCCGAATCATCGCTGATCCTACAATCTTCTTCAGGTATGGATCAGTCATCTTGGCTCGGCGTCTGGCCGCTTCGGGTACGTCCTTTGCGGAGATAGGCGCAGGAAGAAATCCCAAATCGTAGATCTCGCGAGCCACATCCTCTTGTTTGAAAATATCATGGTCCATGAAACCGACTAGTTTTGGGATAACTCGATAAAGGATCTCCTTTGACTCGGGAACAATGTAGTACAGGGCTAGCCGGTCCATAGGAGTAATGGCTGTAGGAATATTGAAAGGCTGTCGAGCAATATATTCTCTGATGTACATGTAGCTGCGAGTAACTCTGTTGGACCATTCGACATCCTCGATAGCAGACCATGCTGACGTATCCTTGCCGATGATTTTGTAAACGCAAGTGAGCAAATAGAAAGACTCAACATGCGTTAAATTCTCGGGATTTTCCGAGGAATCTACCAATGCGTCGGAGATCTTCCTGATGATTTTCGAATTGAGGCCATATGCTAACTTGTGCCTTGGGTGAGGATGGGTATATTCATGCTTGAAAACCATTGTTAGCTTAATACTTCTTCACATGGATGTTCTGGAGAGCTATTTGCAAGAACCATGGATACCTCAGCATGCCTTGTGCTGAGTAGAAGGCAGGTAGTTCAGGCGTGGAAGGGATCGTAGGGGTGTACTTGCCGTAATTTCATCTAAAGCTCTTTCGACATTTTTCTCAGATAGAACTATGTTTTTGGTGATGATTCTCTTTACCATTGCCCATATCGCAATCCAATATTTGTTCGTTTCTCGTCCGTCCCAAAGGCTTTGCAGTTCTTCCAGGCTCGGTTCGATTGTTGCTGCATCTATCTGCAGGGTTTTGGCAGTATTGGCGCGAGAGAAAGACGGTTGAAATGCTTGTAGCGCTCCATCTATCGAGTTCCTAATCGCCTCGAGCTCTGGGCGTAGTTTCCTTGGAGTATCGAAATAGGTTGGCATGCTATAGATGCATATGATCGCTTCAAGTGCCAGTCAGTATAAGAAGTACTAGAGGTAAATCGCCGTATTGGTAGTTGAGGTCCTAAACATTTGCATTTGAAGCTCGAAGGGGGCTTGAAGAGATTTGCGAAAAAAATGACTTGAAGGCGTGAAGATTCAGAGATCCAGGATTAACTCTTCTGGGGGGGGGGGGGGGCAGATATCACCATGCACCAGTGTAGGGGAGAAGCCATCGCGGCCGTTGTGGTTCCTTAGAGCCGATTAGTCCACTTCAGGAAAAAGACGTGAGACCTTCATGACTACTAGACCCTGATGGAGTGGCATTGTGTCAAAGATGGCATTTGATATTTAACATTCAGAAGATTACACGATCCATGGTACCGTCATATCTTAAAGTGGATGGCGTCAAAAAGAGGTTCACAAGCGTAGTCAAAAGGGTGTTCATGGTTCCACAAATCCACGACTGGTTCAATTCCTTTATTTAAACAAGAATCTCACCGGCTGGGCCACAGAAGTTGATGTAGCCTCAAAGTCTAGAAGGGAGCCAAGTTTCGGAGAAAACTCAGTGGCTGAAGTACATATATATACCAAGTCTACAAACCTCCCAGTAGTCTGAACTTGGGTTCAAGAAAGCCCATCATACTCAAAACACCTCAGCTTCCTACACCCAAAAGTCACACCAACAAGATACAAGATGATGCTCGAAATCTTTCCTCTCATCGAAATGTCTAGTGACGATAAGATGCTAATATCAGAATACTACGAGGCCATGGAGAGACTGAACGAGCTTGTCGAAGTTGAATGCGACCAAGTGCACTTGCACTTCACTTGCGTATTCAAAGGCAGCGAGGACGAACAAACCTTCACAACATGCTCCTCATGCCGTGAAAGAGTTGTGGAAATGTCCAGACTTTTTGTTGAACTCTGGCCTGGAGACTGGCACAGCGGACACGGCGCTTACATCCAGGACTCCCTCCTTGACACAATCGAGTCAGAAAAGGCTTCCACCGACGGCATGGACATTGCTTCCATGATCAAATTCCGGTTGAAATATAGCGACTTGGCCGACAGTATCATCAAAGACCTCAGTCTTCCAGTCCCCAGCAATAAGCCATGCGGGATATGGAGCAAAGCCGAGTGGGAAAAAGAGCGCCGCAGAAGGGACGACGAACCCGTTTTCGACAGATCTTGGGAAATCACCTGGAGAAAATTCATCGACGGTAATCTCGTGCCACAAGGAACCGTTAAGCAGGGGCCCGAATTCATTCGCTTTGTACAATACCTGGTTGCAGCCGTGCGCCAGAAAGAGTTCATCACCAAGGTGGTACACGACGAATACAACGAACTCATCGAGAAAATCATTCAATACGTCATAGATGCTAGAGCTTCTGATTCAGAGCTTGCATGCCAATCCGCCGCAGTTCGACAAGCTCGTGTCGAGAGAAAGGGTCTTTGGAGGAATACTTGCTTGTTGAAGTTGCGGAAGAACTGCGAAACAGAATGCCGGGCTTGTGGGTTCGTGAAGCCTGAAGTACAAGCAGGAGAAGTCAATACATGCTTTCAAGGGCTGTAGATGAATACTTGCCAGTCTTCATAGACGTGCTTGCCACATTTCTACGTCTACAGTACAAGGCAATGGGTCGAAAAGGTGAAAGGGAGAGCCTATCCCATATTGTTGGAAACAGAGGGGCATTTATACATGTACCTTAGTCTCGCGGCTAGAGCAGGCAGGGAGTGAACATGAGAACTACGGAGCATCGAGCATGGTATTGAGTCCAGAGAACTTCAACTACACACATTAATGGTAACACCCAATTGGATCAATCCTACAACAAGCGTCATCCTCCATCAGTTTGCAACTGGTGCCACATCATTTTCGGCTAAAGCCGGAACCACCTTCTCTATATTCACTCTTTCGCTGTCTGCGGGGCGAGTTGTGAACTTGAACATCTCGTTCGACGGAACAGAATTTCGCGCTCTCAGCTTCATTGCTGTCTCCACGCCCGCAACGGGAACCTTGTACTGGAGATTACCCCCTGGGAAAGGGAGGTACTCCGGAAGGAGGCCCAATTGAGCCAAGGCTGTACCTTGATCCCAAGTGATGTGCTCGTGATACAGGCGATCACCTCGGATGTTGACGACCGCAGCAAACGGTATTTCCGCGTATTTATTGGTTGGCGGAACACCTGGGAGGCTAGTTGCTTTGTCAGTATATGTACTTACATGAAGTACCGATCAGATTAGTTGTGCCTATACTTACAGCCAGTCAAGCTCCTGATCGTGTGTGAACTTGAAAATGAACTCATCAACTACACGATCGATACCAATGGTTCGACTGATAAGCTCTAATTCCGTGTCCGCTGAGTTGTTGAAGATGAAATTGTGACGGTAAAAGTCAGTAAGCTTGTCCCGACCAACGCCACCGGTTAACTGAACAAGCAAACGTTAGAAAGTATGTTCTTTGTTGTTTCCTTTTGCACGATTGGGTTTCACTTACCGTTGGGATGTGGTTGACGTATGGTTCTTGCACCATTGTGCTCATGGTATGCTCCACAGATCTATCGGCGAACTCATACCAAGTATGCTCGTCCCAAATAGCCTCCAAGTCGAAGATAGGGCTTTTCATTTCGCCTTTCAGCAAAGTTAGATTGCGAGTGTATGACAGCATATCCATGTTGTAATCGAAATGCGGCTGGAACGGAGTTGCGAATTTGAAGGATTGGGCTGCTGGGTAAAAGTATTCTGTCCGACCCTTTGATCGCAGGGGCTGCCCCTCGGATTTTCCAGCAAAGTGATAGACTGCGGGTGCAGTGCTACTGGAGATAGATGACCTCTCTGCTCTATCTGCATACACCACCGTGCTCACGATTTCTGGGAATTCAGATAGGATCGGCGCGACTGTGTTCCACATTTCTGGTTCGTATGCTAAGGCATCTCAATTAGCCATGTCCAACATACGTGCGTGATGGAGACGGCAACTCACCGACAAGGCCAACCACGTCTTTTGGATCGCACTTGTCGCTCTTTCGGAATGTTTGAATAGCAAGATCTAGAGTCTCGCGGGCACCGCTTTCGAATGCTGTTGGCTGGATGGCAATGACTGTGTACCCCTCCTCAGCCCATTTCAGGGGCAGTGCGGGCACGCCTTCTTGAATTACCAGCACATTGTCGACTGAAGGGACAAGAAGAATGAGGCCTGGCCCGACGCCGCGGCGAGAAAGAGGTGACAGTGATGAAATCCCGTTTCCAACCGTCTTCAATTCAGACTGAGGAAGGGGAGCTGGGGGTTTGCTAATGTCTGCGTACATAGTGACGTTGCGGGATACTTTTCTTTATCGGTGTGATTTCAAGTTTGATGCCCTTTCGGTGAAGTCGTTGATCAGACTGGCAGAGTTTGAGAACTTATAACATGCGATAGTTTCCATCAGGATGGTAACTCATACTAAGTGCACCACACGGCACGGGATGAGCTCCGGCCGAGTCATTATAAACTAGCGCTCGTATCATTACGGTATTCCGATTTTCTATCCTAATTGCTAACTGGATAGGGCCTTTGATTGGTCAGTGGAGGCGGAACTTCCGTTCAGAAGGGGATCTCGGACTTACGGACTTACGGACTTGCAGGTTGCTCAACGATAAGTGTGCGGGCCGAGCACCGCTCACATCAATGGGATTTCACTTTTGCCCACCAGTTGGCCACCGATTGGAATTGACAATCTGAGGAACTGCTTTGATAAGCCTATCTTAACTTCCAATTATGTTTACGTTGCTTATCTGCTTACTCAATGACGGGGCCTTGTGGGATTTTGAAGCATTGCGACCTTTCGTAGTATGGTCGAAACATGCTGATTCACAACCTGTTGGAATCGCTGCATGTCCATCTGATGTGAATTGGCGGCAATTGCACCTTGCATCGTCGGCCCGCAGCCTGTATTCAGTGCCGCCTCTTCAACAGACCCGCAACTTTCGGCCGCCGTGTCCCAAGGCACCGGATCATACAAACTCCACGCCATGCCCCGGCCGCCCGTACGTCCCGAAGACCGAAAACGGTCCACCAGGGCCTGCACGGCGTGCCGAGCGACCAAGAAGCGATGCGACGCAGCGCAGCCATGTCGACCATGCGTCAAACGCGGAGTAGGCTCGTCCTGCACTTATTCTCAGCATGTAAGGGCTCGCCGCGCACCGCCGAATCGATCTTCGGTCGCCTCAGGCACTCGGCAGCGTGATCAGGTGTCCCCCTTACTCTATCAGCGTCAAGAATCTTCTGTGCAGGATGAGGACGAAACCGCAGCCTCGTCATCGTCCGGCAAGACGGTTACGCCGCCCGGTCCGCGTCCGGTGATGATGTACACCTGTAGTGGTGAAAAAGGTCCGATACTTCACACCAAACGCCGCTCTATCGACGATATTGAGGCGTCCTCAGGTGTTCCACGATTTGCTAACAGCTTGAGGTCCAAAGTGTTTGTCGGAAATGCCTCAGCCATTGCCTTCTTACAATACCTGCGAGGAAGCTTGCGTATCCTTGGTCCAGGTTTCACGATTAGTCAGGGATGTCACCGCATGTTCGAGGCACAAGTTCCTGTTCAGCGGACCGACGACTTCTCAGATGACATTGAAGACGCCGAGAGGAAAATCCTGGTCCAACGTTACCTTGACGCCGTGAGTAAAAGCTCTCATTACTTGTTCAAGTGAGTGTAGAGTTGACGAAGTCGCAGTCTAGTGGACTCCTTGATTTGTTCGATGAATCCGATATTGAAGACCTTATCATCCAGACACAGACATCGCACACTGGGTCTCTGAGATCCAACTCCACCATTCATTCAGGGAGGCTTCTGTGCCTCTACATGATGATCGCCATTGGTGCCCAATGTCGTGGCCAGATAGGCGATGCACCTAAAGCCTTTCGCTACTTCTCAGAAGCACGCAAGCTGTCGTTCGAAGGAATGTTGAGCGATCCAACACTAAACACCGCTCGAGGCTTTGTGTTAATGGCCTTCTATATGTTTGGCGCTTGTCGTCGCAACTCTGCGTTTATGTACCTCGGTGTTGCCACAAAGGCGGCGTCGGTCATGGGCTTGCACATGGCAGAGCAGTTCCAGTCTCTTTCGGAGAGCGAACGAAGTCTTAGGTACTTACTATCCTCTTCGAATTCCTAAACTTCCCTTGCTTCCATACAGAGGATTAGAGGCTAACGAATCATCAAGGTCTCGAGTCGACAAGAGCATACGACTCTTTGACGTAGTGTGTAGCTCAATCCTCGGTAGACCAACGAGTGTAGCACCTTGCCGGCTGAGACGAAGCGTAAGCCTTCATGAGAACCGACATCGAAATTTGTCGGTAGACGCTGCATGCACATTTGCCACAATCCTGAACAGAATTGTCGACACTCTAACCGAAGAATCTGAGTTGGGCATGATGAGAGCACAACAATTCCTCGATGAAATTAGACGTTGGAGTAAGGAACTGCCAACAGCTTTGCGCCAACGTCCAAAGAGAGGAACCGCTCACTCTCATCATTCTCAAAACCGAGAGATAGCCATTGGAAATATTCACGTCGCTTGTACCTACTACTTTGGCATTATTCTGACAACACGGGAGTTTTTAATTCATCATATCATGCCTAAGATCAACAAAGATACGTCACTCGTGGACGGCCACGATGATGAGGGAGGGGAAGAAGATGAGAAGAGTGTTGCTGAACTATCTGATGCCTGTGTGGACGCTGCTGTGTTCATGGCAGAGATGTGTGCTGACGCTCTGGACTCGCGCACCATTATGGGCAACATGTGCATACTGAAGTGAGCCCTTTGATCTTGTTCAGATAAGCGTGTTACTAATAGTCGATTTAGAGCTTGGTTGTTTGCCGCCGGTCTCGTCCTTGGCTTCTCGCTACTCGCTCCCGACGTGCCCCAAAACCGTGGGAAGGCATTTCATAACGCACTACGTGTTCTTGACTTTTTGGGTCACTTGAGTCCGCAAGCAGCACAGTATCACCGTCTTCTCACAAGCTTTTCACAAGCCATCGACTCTTTCAAGACCAACTCGCCAATCGAGCAACATCATACGGGTGCTCCATACGTTGAAAAGCTTCTATCATTCAATCTAGCTGAGAGTCCTGAGACTCATAGAACTGGAGAGGCGTCGCAGCTGCGCGAAAGCATCGGTCATGGCAGAAGTCCAGAACGATCTGAGAGAGCAAGTGATGCGATTGCAGACTTGAGTGATCAGCCAGATCTATTGTCTTTTGACCCAACTGCATCTGGCGGGGAAGACTTAATGCTAAGTCTTCTTTGGGATGATGGCGATGTTGCCTTTGGAGAGTCAAGTGCTTTCGATATGTCAATGGGATCTGGCTAAGCCCGGGCCAATGGGTGGGCCAATGCTACATGTAGCAAAATCAGCGAGTTATCGGAAAACGAAGCCGAGTCTTTGCTTTCAGAGCATTGGGCAATCTCGCACCATCAACCAGAGCGTACGAGGGAAAGCTCGACAGAGCTCTGAGTACTGATATCGATATGATGGAGTAGAGTCCTGCGTACATTGCTATATATGGTTAGGGACTACATGCATGTATCCATGCACATACGGGAGCTCTAACAAAGGGTACATGTAAGAAGGCATAGATACTCAGCCGGCAACTTCTTGACCAGAATGAGAAGGCATGGAACCCCTTGCACCTTCAAAAGTGGCGAATTCATGATACGGAGAGACTTGCCCTCGCAATCGCGTTGAGATCGACGAGTCTAGTATAGTCTGACAGTATTCAGAGCCACCAACATCCCACGTAACAGCTGAATCCGAACCAATGGTTAAAGTTCTGTCCTTGTTACAAAAAAGGGTTTCAGACGGCTGAATTCAAGCGATCTTTTGGGGAGTTGATGACTTCTTACATGGGATGACAGGGAATTTCCATGCCAATCGTGGTTTTAGAAGAGAAAAACTGCCCGTCTCTACCGGCGGGTTTCTCCGGATCGCCGTGAAAGTCATAGTAATGCTGAGTTGAAGTCTGAAAGTTACCATTGAATGAACACAGTCGATGCACCGTGACAATAATTCGAAGCATACCATTTTGCCGATGCGGGCGCCGTCCAAGTGTGAACTAACTGCATACGGTTTGTTCTTCCCATGTTGTGACATCGATGAAATCCATATGGCCGTAATCCTTTCTTACAAGAGGTGTTGCATGCTAGTGGGGAAGAAGGCCTGCAGTCCCGAGCAGCGGTAAAACTGTAATAGGAAGATGAGTAAGTGTACATGAAGAATTGTGGCTAATCCGACAAACTGTCGGTTGGACCACTTTGTAAGGTACTAAGTGTGGAAGTCTTGCCAATTGGTTGATGCCTGGGGTTCTCAAACGGGTCCAAAGTTGGGGATTCTTGATGATCTGACTCGTTAGCATCTGTCAATAGCCTTTTAATTTCGTACAACAGGCTGTTCTGAGTATAAAGGCAGCCCTGACCTCTTCAGACTAATTACAACATCTCGTCTTTCTATCGCATCATTGAAGCCAAAAACCACAGTTGTATATCACTTTCGTACTCTTTAACAAGAACGTTGACCGTTTCAATCTAATCTACCAAAATGCAATTCCAGATCGTTTTCGCTATTCTCGCTACCTACATTGCATCCGCTATCGCGGGTGCTTGCGAGGACTGCCAGCGAACATGTCCTAGGCCCAGCGAGGCTGAGTGCAGTAAGTCATTTGCAAGTTCATCTTTCAGAACTCAACAAAAAGACTGACATATTTCTCGTCCTCTAGACACTCTTTGCGCACCCATCTGCAACGCAAAATAAGTAGGCTTGGTACTTCCTTTTGCTTCAGCCTGACAGGCCACATCTACCTAGCAGGCGGCGATTATTTCTCGTCTAGGAAACTTGAGAGCTTTTCCCCGGAGTGCTTTGGTATGGTACCTTAGGGTAGTCTTGGACTTTAGCGATGATTTAGCTAGAGTTGGACAATGACAAATCGGTTTTGCATCGCAACTAGACCAGGCGAGTTAACTTCAACGGAGCGATTGCGATTTTACAACTATCCTAAGCTCTTATAGTGTATTTCCTCCTTGTGAGCCTCACTCCATTCGCTTCTGCAGTGTATTCATACTTTCCGTGATATTGGACCTTCGTCTCGCCTTTATTGCCAATAAAGTGTGATACGTGCATTGGCATGTGGCTTTGCGCGTGTTTGATACACATCGACCCCCAGCCGCTTATTCATTACTCCCGCATGATTTAGCATTCCGCATACATACATACATACATACATAGTTTATTACGCCCCGGCTAAGCTGTTTAGGGCTCGCATGATTATCTACATATTCTCCACATTCGTTCATATCCTTGCCTCCCAGAAGCCCATACAAGTCTTGTTCGTCTCCGTATGTGTCTTTTTTAGTTTTGCATGTCGATGCTGCGGTTGCTCGTGGGGTTAGTAGCAGGCCATCTCGGAGTTGTTTCTCAAAGTGTTCGACGTCCTATCGTCGGCGGCCGAAGCTAGTCCTGCTGTCGATGGCACGAGGATGCGTGGGGGTGTCTCCGGTTAATTTGATGATGTTAGTTGCGTGTGGTTTCGCTGCTGGCTGATCTGTGCATCTAGCCTCTCCGTGCTCATGGCGAACTTGATCGTCTCTTTGACAACGTCTACGCTTGGCGACCAATCCTTAGGGTCGGACGCGCGCTTTCCTCCCAGGAAGTATGACAGATTTCCTCTCCGCGTTTCCGTCTGTTGGAGCATCCGAGTCCGCTGTGCCGTCCACTGTGTGCATCGAAAGAGAAAATGCTCTACCGTTTCTGCAGATTGCCCGCAAGCGCATAGCGCCGCGGCGGTTGCGCCGATCTGGTAGAGGTACCAGTTCAGCCTTGCCATTCCGGTGCGTAGTTGCGCTAGAATGCTGGCTTCTTTCCAGGCCAGTCCGTCATACAGCTTGCGTGTGTGGTTTCCCGGCAGGGCTATGTCGATCTTCTTCGAATATGCTCCTACGTTGTCGGGCAAGGCTCCGTGCTTCTGTCGCACGCTCTGTAAAGCGATCCTAAGTGCCGTCGAGTAGGCTCTGGCCGGCCGTTTTTGTGGTGTCTTGTTTACTTGGGTACTTTCCTTTGCTGCTGCTTTGGCCGCTTGCGCCAGGTCTGACTCTATCGATGATGGAAGCCAGAAGAGAGTGACTCTGTTGCCTCGTCTCTGCAGAGCTTGCACGCTGGCATATAGTTGTCGGATCTCTTGTTGGCCTGACTGCTGCCGCGGGTTGTGCATCACCAACACTGCCGCTTTGTTGCGGGTGAAGACGTGGATGGCCCGGTACTCGAGTCTCTCTGGGAGAGACTTGACCGCTTCTGCCAGTGCCGCTAGCTCTGCTACATACGGGTTCTGCTCCGTTCTCTGACCGAACGTACGCGAGGCCGTCACGACGCCACCGCCCCCTCTGAAAGATGCGGGCAGCGTCGTCGCCGTTCCAAAGCCCACAACCTCGTTCCTTGCTGAGCTCCCTGTCGCTATCCTCACTGCCCATCCAGACCGGATTGCCTCAGAGGCCTTGACCGTGTCGTCGTCGACTACTGTATCAATACGACGTTCCCAAGGAGCGATCGAATACCCTTCGATAGTCTCCAGCTTGTCAAGGGGTAGGTCGCGATAGGCCTCCGCCATCAACTGGAAGGGTGACGGAAACCGTCTAAAGGCCACCGCCCGCAGACGTCGAAGCGGATGGGTCTTGGGAAGGCTTCGCAGCCGTACCCAGAATGTCGTTGATTTTCTGTCGTACCTCTCTTGCGCCGATTGTATGCTTGCCTCCGCTTCAGCGACCGCCGTGGCCACCGTGTTGAAGGTTCCCACGATCGCTTGGGCGCCAATCCTCTGCACTCGGTTGATCACCCTCATCTGCGCTGCTCGACACCTGTACCTCCAGACGTTCGACGCGTAGTCCATCGTCGGTGCTACGGCCGCCACGAAAAGCTGTCTGGCCGTCGCCGGAGACAGGCCTTTGAGCCGTTTGAGCCCCAGCACGGCCTCCAGCCCTTTTGTCGTCGCGTCTGCGATGTGCTTTTCGAAACGGAGTTTCGTGTCCATCATCACTCCCAATACTTTGACGTGGTCCTTTGCTCGGACAGTGTCACCTTTGATGACGAAGCTGGTTGAGTCCGCCGGCAGCCTCCAGTTGCGCGTGAAGTGGATGATGGCCGTCTTGTCCGTCTCGAACGTCGCCCCGCTTCGTCGTTCCCACGCGAGTGCTCGATCGATAATATCTTGGATGCCCTGACGGTTTGCTTCGCGCGATCGGCCTGTGACCCACGCCGTGTAGTCATCGACGAAGGCCAGCGCGCCCCCGTTCTCGTCGATTTGGTGCTGTACGAGATCGGCGTTGAAGAAGAGGAAGAGCACGGGCGAAAGCGGCGAACCCTGAGGCAGTCCGGCTTGTGGTAGCGGACGAGCCTCGGACTCGTGACCGTTAACCAGGATGCTTGCCGTTCTATGGGAGCAGAAGGCGTCCACCCATCTCACCAGCTTGTCCGGGATCCCCGCGCTCTGAGTCTTTGAAGTAGTCTCTCTTTGTACACACCATTGTATGCTCCCTTGACATCGAAGCTGACCAGACTGACCACCTTTCTCTTTCTCCACGCTCTGTAGATGTACTCCTGCAGCAGTACCAGCGCCTGCTCTGCCGACCTCTGCTTGCGAGCGCCAAAGTGGCTCGTGGGAAGGAGGCCGAACGTCTCGACAGCGTGCGAGATACGTTCTGCCAGGACCGACTCCAGCACTTTTCCGAGCGTCGAGAGAAGCGAGATCGGTCGCCAGGCCTTCGCTATACCGTAGTCGCTTTTGTTTGGCTTCTTCAGCGGGATGATCTTTGCGTGTCGCCACTGCCTCGGCAACACCCCTTCATCCAGTGAGGTCTGGAAGAGTGTAAGCACCCTCTCCTTCACCACTGGCCACGTGTGCTTCCACACTGCCACCGGCAGACCGTCCTCTCCGGGTGCTTTCCACGACTTTGCCGCAAAGAGCTGTCTCTCTACTTCTCCCAGTGTGAGGTTAGGGAAGGGTACCGGCGATCGTTGTGGCCGATCCCCCTCCTCCTCGATCATGCTGGGGAGAGGAGGGAAAAATGTGGAGAGCAGCTCTTCGGCCTGTTCTGCGGCGTCTCCCGTTTGGGAACCATCCGCCCTTTTAAGTTGAGGTATCTTGTCGAAAGATGCCCCTTTACTGGCGTCGAGATACTTCGCGGCCTTCCAGATATTGGCGTCGTCGGCCAGAAAGTCCTCCCAATGGCTCTTCTTCTGTTGTCGGATGGCATCGTGATATTGCTTGGCTGCCGAGCGTGCGCGTTGCTCCAGTTCAGGTTGACTGTTACCTGCCCTTCTCTCCGCTCTCGCCCGGTTTCTCCAGTGGGTATGGATCTGCCGGAGCTGGGTGAGGTCAGCCGTCCACCATCTCTTTGCATACGGTGATGGCTTGGCCGTAGGTGTCAGTGCCTCTACTGCCTCGCACACCACAGACATCAGTCGATCCGTCTGTTGCTGCACCGTACCTCCTGTTGGCATTCGCCCTAGGTTTGCTTCTACTCTCTCATTGATTTGCTTCCATGGGGCGTTCTTGAGGAGGAGCCGTGGCCGGCTTT